GGTGGCGCGAGCGAGGTGCTTCTACCTCAGCCCATACTCACACGAGGACTTTTTTGGATGTATCTGATCGCTTTTGCGGCCACAGCTTGATGCACCTGACCGCAATTACGTGGATATACAAGTTGGAAAAGTCTTATTGTGAGAGAGCCTCACACGGAGTATGCCTTTATGCGTTTCAGACACAGGGGCCTCTCGTTCCTCGATTTTGCCCAGCATAGAAAAAGGCGAGTGCATCTTGCGATAGAATGTGTCAAGGTGCATTCCCCGTGTTTTTCACAATGCCCAGAGCGCCTTTGGATGTGCATTCTCCCTGAACCCTAAAATCCCTCCGCCAGAAGTGTCCTTCTTTATAGATCGCATCTCTCTGGCTCTTCTCTCCTTGCTACTACCGTGTGGCTTTCCGTCGTCGTGCAAATCGAGCGGCAGAAGGGTGAGCGCGTGCGTGTTTGGGAGAGATTTGGGAGAGGAGGGTCATGATGTCGTCTTGATATCCGTTGAAGACTTTTATATGCGTGTGTGTGTGTGTGTGTGTGTGTGTGAAAGAGAGAGAGAGAGAGAGAGAGAGAGAGAGAGAGAGAGAGAGAGAGAGAGAGAGAGAGATGCTTCTGTATAAACACAGAGAGAGAGAGAGAGAGAGAGAGAGAGAGAGAGAGAGAGAGAGAGAGAGAGATGCTTCTGTCTAAACAGAGAGAGAGAGGGAGAGAGAGAGAGATGGAGAGAAATGCTTCTGTATAAACAGAGCGGGTACGGGTAAGGGAGGCATGGGGAAGATTAATGAACGGGATCTGGTCAGGAAGTTAGGGGCGCGCGCGCGCGCGAGAGAGAGAGAGAGAGAGAGAGAGAGCGGCTACATCTACGGTTAACGAAGGCGCGGAGGAAGATTCATGGACGGGATCTGCTCAGGAAGTTGGTCCCGACCAGGTAAACGAAGACATCTATTATCAATCATTCGGAAAACCTTGGTGATTTTCTTGTGGATGTCTCTCGATTGGCTTGATTGATTACCTCGTTTAGCGATTGAGTCACTGGTTGCTTTTTATCGGTTGATTGATTTGATTGGCTGGCTTGGCAATAATTGCTTGAGTGTTTGCTACGCTTGTATATGAATCGGAGGTGGTATTTGTTGCCTTCTTTTCCCCCCCTAGTTCTGCATTTACTGTATATATATAGGTTATTATATTGTATTATATTATATTATATATTTAACGGGCAGTTCTGTTTGACAATATATATCCTATATATGATGAGTCGGTGAAACCCCGACGAAACAGTTTGTCACAGCCCCTCGTTTGTTGTCCTCTTCCCCTCCCTCTCCGCCTACGTTTCACCGGGCAGCTCTGTTTGACGATATCTATATCTATGGTCAAACAGAACTGCCTGGTGAACCGTAGGTGGCAGAGAGGGAGGGGAGGGAGAAGAGGACAACAAACGAGGGGCGGTGACAAACTGTTATATTGTCGGAGTCTCACCTACCTACTCATCAGGAGGCTGATTTATAGGGGCTGTGACGAATTGTTTCGAGGGCCTGTGATTACTGTGCAGTTCTGCCTTGGCTGTACATGTTCACGGGTATTCGTGTCCAGGCTCTTTCAATCTTTTTCTTTTTCGTTGCCCCCCCCCCCCGGCCCCGCACCCTCCCCTTCTCTCCATGCATTTTCTTCCATTCTTTGCCCGCCCAGCTGTGTTCTCACATCGCTCTCAGCCATGTGTCCACTGCTGCACAGCTAATTAGCACCTGCCACATCATCTCTACGACAAATAATGGCCTCGAAAGTGACGTGGAGATGCACATATAGGGATTCGCGTTGATTAATGGACCCCGATAACGGAGTGCATACGATTGTGGCAGTGTATACGGACTCTGGTGTTTCTCTTTGTCTTTATTGTTGTGGTAGTTTTCTTGTGTGTGTGTGTGTGTGTGTGTGTGTGTGTGTGTGTGTTTGCGCGTGCTCTGTTTCTCTCCCGGCCCTTTCCTATGTCCCTTGCTCCCTTTCTCTCTCTCGTGCGCGTTCTCTCCCGACGCCCTCTCCTCTCTCCTTCCTTTCCTCTTGTTCTCTTCTCTATCTACATTCCCTCTTCCCTCTCTGCGCTTGCAGGATTGATAGCTGCCGCTTCTTGTGTGTTTATCTGGCTTCGCGTTGGTAGCTACTTTGGGTCGATGTCTTCATTTGTTTTCCCTCGTCGTCCGTTGTCAATGTCTTCTTCATTGTGGTGATGCCTTCATTGGCATCGCGTCCATGACTTCATTTCATGCGGGGTCATATCGTCAGCACTGTGCGCAGGGAAGGCGGGAGGGGTGATATCGGGGTGAAACGGGTTTTTGATATACTCGTCAGCGTGTGTGGGGAAGGGGGCCGGGAGGAGGGGTGATATTTTGGGGGTGATATCAGCATGGATGTCCGGGCGTCGTCGAGATTGTTATTGTTGTCTTCTGTGCGCTTCATCACGGTCAGACGCCCAATGATAGAGGCACATTTTCATCATTGATATCGTCTTAGGGCCTTGTGATATTATCTTAGGGCCGTGCACATATGGTTAACCAGGGGTAATATTTTCGGCGAATTTTGCACCGAATTGTACCGAAACTGTCACATTATGCTGATTTTTTGCTTTTTTTCTTGTTTTCTTTTTGTGTGATACATACGAGCGTTAGGGTACGTCATGTGCCCAATTTTGACATGTTTGGATCAATAATGAAAAAATTGGCATTTCGTTGAATTTGTTGGACGCTTCATTTTAACTCCGACAGTGTTTTTGTGTTCGGGTTTTATAGTGTTTTTTTGGTTATTTTTTTCGTTTTCTTTGGCCTGTTTCTTTTTTTGATGTTTGCACTATGGGCCCATATCATTTGTTTTTGAAAATGTCGATGAATTTCGCACCGAAATTGCCGGCGAAAACGGTGAATATTTCACCCCCCGTTAACCATCTCTCAGAACTTCAAATAGACGAATATATTTTTGTAAAAATATATTTGTCTTTTTGTTTTCTTTTTGTTTTCTTCTTAAAAGGGAACTCACATATGGCTGTGTGCAAGTGGGTCGATATGACACAGGGGGTGGGGGCAGCCGCCGCTCAACCTACATCCACGTGGGCGGCCTTGTACGCAAGAGATTCTGAACAGGGGGAGTTATAAGGAAGAAGATAAAGAACTGAATTCAATTTTTCCTGTTTTTCTTTTTTTCGCATTTGCGCAGTGATATTCATGTGACGATATATATATATATTTGACGATATATATATATATAATTATATTCGTCTATTTGAATTTTTTTGCCCATTTGATGTTCTGTTGTATTGCAATGGTTCGTATCTCATCTCTTACAACTCTCCAAGGGCTTCGCTCCACTGCCCGACATTTGGGAAGTATCTGAGCCGCATTGTGGACCAGATACATTAGGACTGATCGAACATCTTGATCCAACCTCCAGGCCCACATACATTTAGTATGCTTTGTAGATGAGTGAGGCCCTAAATTTGCACAAATGGATTCTCTCCTGGGTTAATAGATGTCCCCCTCATCTGATGAGCAGAAAGTAGAACTCTTTGCTCTCCCGGTATTGTAGCGCGGATGTGGGTTGAACGTGTGTCGCCAAGTGCATCTGCCCAGGAAAGGTGGGAAAATACACGTTCATTTTCTAGATGGTGGTGGGTTTGTTTTGGTGACAAAAAATGTGCACTGCATTCTTACAGGGTCAAGAAGACTGTTATTTTTTCGGAGGGCGAGATTGGTTTGTTTGGTTTTGCATCGAGGTGAAGGGCCGCGCCACACGGCACACGAAACGGAAACGAACAAGTGCATGCTGTCCATGAAAGGTGGCAAAAAATACACTTGTTATTATAATATTATTTATTTATAGCAAACAGATGAAGCTGACTATTTTCTGTGGGAAGATGCACTTGTTTTGTTTTTGTTTCGTGTGCCATGTGGGTGACGCCTGAAGCGTACTGACGAAGGCTTTGTGTACATGTATGTTCTTTCTCAAGGTCATAAAAATATCTTTCTCTCTCCCGCCACGGTGTTACGGGTTGGGGGGTTTCATTTCATTGGCGAAGTGACTTTTTTTTATTGCTGAGTTTTTGTGACGATCTTGCTTTCCAAAGTGGTTCATCAATAGCGACATACGGAAAAAAATAAAAAATAAAAAAATGATACCTTTCTGAACGCGAACTTTTTGCCTCTTATGCACCCTCTTCTTTGCCATTCAGGGGATAAACTCCAGGTGTGTGGTGGCAGTGGCTTTTTTAGGGGGTTGAATATTATCATATCGAGAAGTGCGCCGCCGGGTTAACGTCTCTTTTTCAGATTTGCGTCCATCTTGTCTTGCAAGGATGGACGGAAACAAGGATGACGCTGCCAAATGTATGAGGATAGGGGTTGCGGCATATGAGGCGGGGGATGTGGAGAAGGCAATCAGGTTTCTCGCGAAAGCGCAGAAGCTGTACCCTTCGCGAGAAGTTGCGGATATTCTGTTGAGGATCGCAAAAGGCGAGAAGAATGGCGTTAATGGGTACGAGAGGGACGACGAGCAAAGCAGGTCACAGAATAGTGAGAGTGCGGAGCCGTCGTCGAAGTACGATGGTGGACAACCTGGTCGACCTGGTGCAGCTTCTGCCTCCGCAGATACGGAACCGTCCCCGTCGTCATCGAACGTCCGCCGAAGAACAGTGTCGTCCGCTGGGGCAGCGGAAGGAGGTAGTAGTAATGGTAGCGCTGGTCCTGCCACTCCCGAACAGATTGAGGCGGTGAGGAGTATCTGTGGGTCATCGAATTACTACGAGATGTTGGGTCTGGAAAAAGAGGCCACGGATGAAGATGTGAAAAAGGCATATAGGAAGCTGGCTCTGAAACTCCACCCGGATAAAAACAAGGCGCCGGGGGCTGAAGAGGCGTTTAAGAAAGTATCGAAGGCCTTTCAGTGTCTGAGTGATGCAGATCTGCGAGCCAACTATGATCGATATGGTCACGAAGAAGGGATTCAAGCGATACAGAGGCAGAGGGCGGCATCGGCAGCGAGAACGGAATTGTATGACGACTTCGATCCCAACGAAATCTTCAACGCGTTTTTCTTCGGGACGGGTTACCCGAATCTCCGAGTCTACCGGACGTTCAGCAATCGGCACCCTCAGCGAGTGTACACGCAGCATGCGAATTATGCGAACCACCAGGAACCGGCCGGTGGGTTCAGCGTTATCGGGTTGATTCAGTTGCTTCCGGTGGCAATGTTCCTCCTCCTGACCATCTTCTCTGGCTCCGATCCAGTTTTCCGTCTTGAGCGCAAAGATCCTTACCTGTACGAGCGCAGGACAACCAAGCTTGATGTTCCTTTCTATATTAAGAAGAACACGTTCGAGCAAGATTATCCCCTTCATAGCAGGCAGAGAAAGAGGCTAGAAGATCAAGTGGAGTCACAGTACAGAGAGAACGTTGAAACGCGGTGCTTCTACGAGCAAGTACAGCAGCAACAGCTTTACCGAAGTGGGCATGCGAGCAAAGCCCGATCTATGAAAATGGCCGCTTGTGACGAGTACCGACGAATCCAGTCCGTGTATTGAAGTGGGATGTCGTTTGCTGTGTTTCTTCTTTCTAGATAAGCTTTCCTGATGAGTGATGGGTGGTGGCTCATTTTCCTTGTTCAGAGTTATAGTGGCACCTGTTCTTCTTATTAGCACGTCCATTAGATATTGAAGTAGATCGTAATTTGATGTACGATTTTCATTTGCAGCACAGCAGGTGTGAGAACATGTGAGGCGTGTGGCTCCTTCAGGAAACTCGTTTGCTATGGAAGAAGGTTCTCCCCTCGTATTTCTTGTTGTATGGGACCGTGGGGACCACTGGAACCGCTGGGACCACTGGAACCATTCGGCAATCGAGTTCCGCTAGAAGTTCTAGGGAGGTTCCGCTTCCATTCCCCGGCGATCCTACCTCTCCTTGGCACAAGTTTTGGGCCATCAGGCTCTCTGCTGGATTGGGCCTTGTGGCTGGGCGAACTTGAGAGCAAGCAAGCTTTCGCCGGGCCCATGGACCTAAGGGTAGGGCTTATAAAGTGGGTATCTATCGCAGCGGGTCAGTGGGGTGTTTCGCCACTGGTAAACCATTTGCCGTGCAGCTTGCTTCGGATCGTTCTGTGGAGAGAGACACAGCTCATGCCAAAATCGTTCCGTCTGTGGAGGGCGCCTCTGCATCCGTCAGGGAGTTTGTACGTCCTCTGGCCATTAATGGTGAATGGGGTCGCTTCTGTGTGTTGAATGCAGGATTACTGACGGTGAATCTGGTTCCACAGCAATGAGTGGTTTGTAATTGAGGCTTCTGCCGGAAAAGAATAATCTTCAGCGGCTTTTCTCACTTGCAACAACTCTCTGTGGCCCCGTGGTCCCATGCCTCTTCCAGTTCCTGGCGACATTCTGCTGCTCTCTGTTGTTGTTCTCGTCGTCTCCGCTGCTCGGCATAGTGAGTACCGAGTAGGAGAGCGGGGGGGGGGGGGGGGGGGGGGGGGGGGGGGGGGGGGGGGGGGGGGGGAGGTGCGAGCGGGGGCAAGAAGAGGTGTGCTCCTGTTTGCTATTTGCGATGCTGTGGCCTCTGGGCATAGCAAGTAAGGAGCGGGGAACACCCAAGCCGAGGCGGAATGATTAAGGGGGCACACACCTAAGGGGCCCCTGGGTGAAATCCATGTCTCTGCGTGCCAACGAGGTTTCACCCCTTTTTTTTCTAGGAGGGAGGATGCATATTGATGTTGTGAGTCGTCCTTTTGGCCGGCCCGGCCGCCTTCTTTGCAGTGGGCAGTGGTGTATTGCGGATGCTAGGCACCTGTTTTTCGCACTCCTTATTGCTAGTGCGATGAGCGGGCTCTGCTCGCGGCAGTGGAGACGACGATAATTGAATAAAAAAGTGGAAGGTTGGAAATCTATCTGGTTGAGTGGCCGCTCTCGGAGGAATGAGAGGTGTCGAAGTCACCGCCACAGAGAGAGAGAGAGAGAGAGTGTTTGCTTCGCAGCAAACGGACATCCCCCCCTTGAGACTTGAATAGCACACGTGATCGTGGAGTTTGGAGTTGGAGTTTGTACTGGTGCTGCACACACGAATGTAACAGTACAGCAGTTATGGGTTCCAATTGTCACAATCGTGGCCACAGAAAAAAAGGCACCCTCTCCGTGCGTGCCAGCTTTCTGTTTGGTCAAGCCAATTTAATGGCCTGCGCAGTTTGAGCTCTCAAGCTGGGCGTCGTTGCTGCATTCTTTAACTTCCTATTGTTTATTCTCTCTCTCTCTCTCTCTCTCTCTCTCTCTCTCTCTCTCTCTCTCTCTCTCTCTCTCTCTCTCTCTCGTATGTGCTTGTGCACACAGCAACACGTGCTTGTGCGATCATGCATATAGACATGCACATGCGCAGATGCGTCCTGAAGAGCTGGTCAGTCTTTTCAGAGCCTGCTGTTTGAGTTGTTGTAGCAACTCATGAGCATTCCTGGAGGTGTATTAATCTGTCAATTGCGTTTTGACTCGTTTAAGCATTTTTTTGCTATTCTGTTCTTCTTCTTCTTTCAATTTCTGGCATTTTAGTATGATTTTTTTTCCTGAACCTTTTTCTTCTTTGGGTGCGTGCTGTGTTCGAATTTCCCCCCTTGTAATTTGTTAAGGTCGATTCTGTGGTCTTTTACCGGCCTCCCTTGACAGATTCCACTATGTACCTGGCCTGATATCCGGCTATGTACATGACCAGATATGTCATGTTCAGTCAACCAGCATGAGAGGCATCGGACCTACAGTGAACATCTGATGCCTTTCTTCATTAATTCTCCATGGTATGTACTGTATCGTAAACCACCAGTACCTGGCCCAGCTATTGGCCATGGCAAAAAAAATTGAAAAAATAGAGTAGAAACGTTTCTAGTCGGATGAATTCGGTCGCTCCTGTAGTAGCCCGTACGTTTCCTAAAATCGTGGCGCGTTAACGGGCACGACTCTAGGAACTACTGGTGGTTTAAACTTTCCTGCCGGCTTATGCTACAGCGGCTGCCATGCCATTTGCGCAGTGCTAAGAAAGAGATGCGGCGGCAAAAGTTGCTTCGCTTGGAGACTCTGAGGCCCTGCTCCGATAGAACTATTGCAAGCCTGCGGATTGGCAAATGTTTTTTTTTTTTTTGTTTTTGTTTTTGTTTTGGAGCTTCCAACTCTTATGGCGTTTCCGCCGTCGTCGATTAGATCTCAACCGACCAATGAATTTGGAACGTCAAACTCTTGTCACTCCTCCTAGCATGGCAGCATGGTTTTCTTAAAAAAAAAAAAAAAAAAAAAAAAAAAAGTGCTTGCCGCACCACTGTCGAAAGGCTATAAGAAATTTAGCGGCTGTCAGAATAAATAAATTCGACAGCCTCCCTGCGACAGTTTGCCCCCCGCGCCTTTCAGCCACACAGCACTGTAGAATGGATGCACTCGTGAATGCAAGATGGAAGAAGACGAACGCGCCTGTGGGGGTTACGACGAGCATTAGTCCGTCCCGGCCTCACGTCCACTCACCAAGTTTCGAAGAGAAGTTGATTCGACGGCGCAACCGAGGACTGTCGATAAAGCGATGTATCGGAGTAGCAGGCTGGGTGGGGAAAAAAAAAATCAGCAACTTTTGACAGGAGAGGAGGTGTCGAGAAGCATTCGCTGAAAACTTGCAAATTTTTCTTCCCGTCTCCATTTCCAATTTCGACAGGCTGTGTGGCCGAGAGAAACTTTCGAAAATCGTGTTTATTTTTGACAGTGGTGTGGCGAGCCCCCCTAAAACGTCTCAAGAGGCATTCCAGTCACCTGGAAAGCATGTGCCAGTGGTGGTGTCACGTTTGTCCGTACCATTTGTTTTTCTTTGGAGCCAGAGTTTGTCCTTGTGACGAGCTCCGTCTCCAACCCTAAGGTCTTCATCTGAATGTAATGTCTTGTCATTATGGCGTGTACCGGGACCGAAATGTGCCCCAAACACATACACAGCTGTAATGACTGGGCATTGTATTTGGGTCGGTTTCAACTGTTGCTGGTTTGCGGTCCTTCAGTGTGGAGGGACTATTTCGCAAGAGTGCTGGCTGGTTGTGTGTATGAATGTGAACTCGGCGCCGCTGGTGTCGAGGGGCAAAGATTGAGAGGATCTGAGCGCATGTGAACCACTCTACAAGTGCATCTTAGGCCATGGATCTCTATGGAAGCTGGTTTTGATGGCTTTTCCTGTATTGGCATAGAGTTCTTTCTCAGCCGTTTGAGAAAAGTTGCAAAATGCCAATTATCATGTGTGATGGGTTGGTCTATGTTTGTGGACACATCTTGTTTTGTCTTCTAATGGTTGTATGAGGATTTTTTACTAAGTTTTTAGTATTTCTCTGGGTCTTTGTGTTGGTGTCTACTCTCATATGTGTGTGCTTTCCATGTGTGTGTGTGTGGTGGTGGTGGTGGGGGTGCTTGCTCGTGCACTTTAGTGTGTGTGGGTGTGTGTGGGTGTGTGTGGTGCATGCGCGTGTGCTTGTGTGTGTGTGCTTGTGTGTGTGCTTGTGTGTGTGCTTGTGTGTGTGTGTGTTTGTGTGTGTGTTTGTGTGTGTGTTTGTGTGTGTGTGTGTGTGATCGGTGGCTTTGGTTGTGACTTGTACCCAGGTGGGGTGCTTGGTCGTGTGTGTGTGTGTGTGTGTGTGTGTGTGTGTNTGTGTGTGTGTGTGTGTGTGTGTGTGTGTGTGTGTGTGTGTGTGTGTGTGTGTGTGTGTGTGTGTGTAGTCGGCGGCCTTGGTTGACTTGTACCTGTGTTGGGTGTGACTGTTGGTTTTCTGATGGCCTACCTTGGCGCCTGGAGGGCCCTGGACACGCAAATTTTGGACCCTTGTCGTACTACCCTATGGCATTTCTGGGCCTTGTCAGAGGCTGTGGAGCAAACTTTCGGCTCCAGCACTTTGTGACTAGATGAAAAGTTTCGACGCTTAAGACTACTGTCTGTAATGCTACCGTCTTCACCCATACAGAATGCTCAGTCATTATTCCTGTACCCAGACTGAAAGTTGCCCAGGTACGGCTAGACGGAACAGCCGTTCTATTTGGGTGAGGACGGTAGGGGTACCGCATTGTTAAACTCTGCAGGGGTTTTCGAAGGCTGCATCCCAAAGGTCATTGACTGAGACAGGGTCTGCACCGTATTCCACAAGGACTGACGGTCATTTTGGCGGACTCTACCATCTTCACCGGACGTACGGTCAGAGTATTGCTGTATCTGGACTCAAAGTTGCCCCAAATACAGCTACTGGACTCAGAAGTTGCCCCAAATACAGCTATAATAACCGTACGTTGTATTCGGGTGAAGACGGGAGGAGGTGTGTATAGTCCTCCTTTTTTGCACCCAGCATTGATTCAAGACTTAAACCACCAGTACTTCCTGAAGTCATGCCCGTTAATGCGCCACGATTTTAGGAAACGTACGGGCCACTACAGGAGCGCCCAAATTCATCCGACTAGAAACGTTTCTGCTCTATTTTTTTTTTCCGCGGCCGATAGCTGGGCCACGTACTGGTGGTTTAAGGTGGATTTTTCTCTGTCGGACAGGTCATTGCACTACGTCCTATTTGAAAACAAGGACACATCGACGCCTGAAGAGGCGTGTTTCAGAGGGGAGTCGAATGGAATCGTATGTACGTTTTTTTTTCTTCTACGTTTTTTTTTCTTCTTTCGGTCGAACCACCCATCCTTCCGATGCGACTGTGTATTCTAGGCTGTTTGGTCGTGGGGCCGGAAACTGGGCCCAGCATCCCGTCTGGAGTGACATGAGACATGTGAAATGCCGGGGCCATTACCCGTTGTCGCCTAATAATTATTTTATTTATTAAAAAAATTCAAGGAAATTTAGGAGAAGTGACGAGTAATTACTAAGTGACTTATCAATTCAACAATCCTTTTTTTTTATATTGAAAAACAAGCCTCCCAACCACGAAATAGATAGGTTTTCAAGCCAAAGCAATCTAATATACTCGGAAAAAAGCAGAGGCCGTAGGCTCGCGAGCTAGAGAAAGATTAATCACTACAATGATACTTCTTTCTGTTTTTTCAAGCATCGCTTTAGTTTCTGGCGTTATGGTTATATGTGCTAGAACCCCCCCATTGAATCCCACCTAAGACTATCACCAGCACGGCCATTTTCAGCACAAGCCGGAGCTCTACCAGGCCTCGTGTTGCACCAGCATGGCCGTTTTCACCTTGCCTTCACTCTCATGAAGATTTTTCTCTCTTCGAAGGCCATCCCACACCATCCAGTATCCTCGAAGGCCATCCCACACGGTCCTAACCCGCAGCATCACTTGAACGAAGCGCAAAGCCAGAGTCGTTCTCACTACCTTCCAACACCAAGGACCGGCGCCCTTCACAGATGCCCCCACACTCTTGTCATCAACCCTTCAACACCAAAGACTGGCTCCCTTCACAGAAGCCCTAGCGCCCCGAAACCAATCGTTAAGGAACGAAGAGAAGCGTCAACCCCTCTCCCTTCTCCTTCCTATCTCCTTCCTTAACCACAGCCTCCCCTCACAACTGCCAATCCCTCACGCCCTCACGTCGCATGTGACAGGCCCCACCTTCCTCCATGTGAAAATGCGCCCATGCACCCTGGCGGTGTCTGCCTTCTTCGTCAAAGCGCGTGCAGCACTAATTCATGCGGGGCCCCGCTCCAACTGTTTGGTATTACCGTCGTCTCACTTTTTCAAAAGCTAACTATATTCTTTTCTCATTTTTCACTTCTCACGACCTAAGTACCCCTGCTCCGAAGCCCGTCGAAAGCGGGGGTTAGGGTGGAGGTCTTTCTGTTAGCAGCCCCAACCTACTCCCTGACCACGACCTCTCACTACCTACCCACCACTGCTCCTAAGCCTATAGAGGATGGAATCAACTGAATAATAGCAAATGGAGGTCTTTCTGTTAGCCAGCACCCCTAGGGTGGAGGTCACCACTGCTCCTGCAAGCATACCTACCTCTCGCAATAAAGGGGATGGAATCAACTGAATAATAGCAAATGGTCCTAGTGGACTAAAAGCCATAAAGAATTGTTTATTTTTTATTTTTACGGAGGTTTTGATGATCGATCTCTCAAAGCCAACGCAATGTCATATACTTCGAAAAAAGCAAAGGCCGTCGGCTCGCTAGCTAGAGAAAGATTAATCACTACAATTAATACTTTTTTCTATTTTTTCCAAGCATCACTTGGCACTGGTCAGGGAGTTGGGTGGGGCTGCTTGTGTGGGGGGGGGATGGCTAAGAGGAGGACCTCTCCTGCCTAGGGGGAATTTAATATTGGAGCTTAGCATTTTGCCAGCTGGGCCTCCCATCCACTGACCGCCACCCCCCTTGAGTAACAGCAGTGTCTATGGCCTTTTGTTTCGGGGTCCTGAGGAGCCCAAAGGTCGCGGCGGCGAGCATACCGCCTCGTC